GCTCGGGTGAGTTTTGAGTAGGTCCTGGGAGGTCTTAGGCTTAGAAGTGTCAGAAATTTGCAGGTCCAGGTGTTGCAGGCCCCCAGCGCGGCCGCGGTCATTTTCGCGCGGACCGGGCTGGAAGCCGCGCGGGCGCGGTGCATTTCTGCGCGGTCCGCATGGCTAGGTTCAGAGGGCCAGTATTCCTAAATTTTGGGGGTTTTGGACCTCAATTTGGGGTCCGATTCCAAAATAACTTATATATTTGCGTTCATGGGGGAATGGGTAGTCGGGTTTTGGTTCGAACCTCGGGTTTTGACCACGTGGGCCCGGGGGCATTTTAGGGATTTTTGAACAAACTTTGGGAAATTCACTTTTCATGCATTCAAATTTATTAGATTAGCCTTTGTTGATACACTCAAGTAATTTGTGACTAGATTCGAGCGGTTTGGTGGTGAATTCGAAGGGTAAAGCTATACTAGAGGATTGAGTTGAGTTTGGAGCATTTGAGGTAAGTGTTTGTTCTAACTTTGGCTTGAGGGAATAGGATTAGGATGTTAATTGCTACTTGCTAAATGTGGAGTACGGTGTATAGGCATGGTGACGGTTGTCTATGCATCGGAGTCTAGCATGACCGTGAGTCTTAATTGCTTTTAATTCGAATGATGTGACACAACTTCCTTGTTTAATTGATAAATTTCATATAATGTGAACGGTTGAGGAAGAATTGTGATTGGCATATTTTGGAGCGTTGGCTCGAACAAGAATGTGATAGTCGAGAGAGAAGTGATTTAAAAGAGGATGTGTTGTGATTATTCCCTTGCCGGGACGTGTAGACTATTATTACGTACTCTCCCTTGCCGGGATATTCGGGCTGTTAGCTGTACCCTTGCCGGGTTAAAGTGTTATGTTGTCGAATTCCCCTAATGGGGCCTTCTTTGCAAGTCAGATATTTTGAACTATAATATGGGATCGTGTGGCACGCCGTCCACTTATATATATATATTATGAAATGGGATCGTGTGGCACGCCGACCACTAGTATATTATGAAATGGGATCATGTGGCACGCCTTCCACTTATGAATTAAGAAATGGTATCGTGTGGCACGTCGTCCACTTATGAATTAAGAAATAGGATCGTGTGGCATGCCGTCCACTTATGAATTAAGAAATGGGATCGTGTGGCACGCCGTCCACTTATGAATTAAGAAATGGGATCGTGTGGCGCGCCGACCACTTATATATGAGCTATGGCATTGAGATAGCTTCGTCGTGATATCCGTTGATCTATATACGCTGTATTTTTTTCCCGAGCATGCCCCCTTCCCCTTTTTAGTTGATATTATCTGTTGTTATTTCTGTTGTCTTTGTATATACATATCTGCACAGGTTGTTTTTGGTAGGTCCTGTCTAGCCTCGTCACTACCTCGCCGGGGTTAGGCCAGGCACTTACCAGCACATGGGGTCGGTTGTGCTGATGCTACACTTCTGTGCTTTTTGCACAGATCATAGTACCGGAGCAGGAGCCTTTGGACAGCAGTAGGAGCGTTGGGAGCTTACTTCAGTCCAGAGATTTCCGAGGTAGCCTTGCTGGCGTCCGCATGGCCCGGAGTCTCTCTTATCTCTGTCTTTCGTTTGATTTCCCTTGTATCGGATCAGACAGTACTGTATTCTTATTCAGACTTTGTATTTAGCATTTAGCAGAAGTTCGTGAGTTAGTGACACCAGATCTGGGTAGAGGTGTATTTGAATTTCCGCACTTGGTTTCAGTTATTTATGTTTCGAGACTTCCGTTTTTATATTAATTGCCTCGTTCTTCTTTATACTGTTAATGATGTTGAGAGAAGTGTAAAATTAAATTGGCTTGCCTAGCTCCTATTAGTAGGCGCCATCACGACTCCCGAGGGTGGGAAATCCGGGTCGTGACAATTTGAGGTCAAATTCTGAAACTAATTGTATAATCGGGCTCAAGGGTGAATGGATTGATGGGTTTTGGTCTGAACCTCGGGTTTTGACCAAGCGGGCCCGAGTCGATTTTTGAATTTTTGGGGAAAAGTATGAAAATCCTAAATTCATGCATTGTAATTGATTCTTTAGCAATATTTGACATTATTGAGTCAATTGTGGTTAGATACGAGTGGTTTGGAGGCGGATTCTAGGGGAAAGGCCCCGGTAGAGCTCTGAGTTGACTGCGCAGTGAGGTAAGCGTTGAGTTTAACCTTGATTTAAGGGAATTAGGAACCCTCGGACTATGTGCTACGTGAATTTCATGTATTGCGGCATATATGCGAGGTGACGAGTGCTTATACGTCACCGAATTACTTGTTTCACTGATTTTCCGCTTTTTCTTAATTATTTCCTTCCATGCCTTAACTGTTTTGTGCTTTAAATGTCTTCCATGCTTTAATTGCTACCTGTTAATCATTGATTCTCCTGTTAAAAATGTTAGACCTTTCCATGCTTTCATGACTCGCTATTATTGCCTTAATTGGCCTACTTGCACCTTTTAATTATTTTTTACCGGACTTGTCTTGCCGTGTAATATTGTATATGTAAATTCTCAATTTGGTACGAGGCTTCCTTTCTGATTCAGCTTCATATTCATCAATCGTAGAGGTCCTTGTGATTTGAGTTATTGATTTGATTGTACTCAATGAATATTTGATATTGATATGGTGGGATCGGATTGCACGCTGCAACAGGTGAAATAAGGGTGGATTAATATGGTGGAATAAGGGTGAATTTGTACTGATATGGTGGGATCAGGTTGCACGCCGCAACAGGTGCAATAAGGGTGGATTGATACGGTGAAATAAGGGTGAATTATGATACTGATTTTGTTATATGGTGGGATCGGGTTGCGCGCCGCAACATATATTTATTTATTTATGATTATTGATATTATTACGGTAGAATAAGGGAGGATTGTGCTGTACGGTGGGATCGGATTGTGCGCCGCAATAATTTATGTGATTCTATTTCCTTGGGATGTGTTGGTTTTTGGTATTTTTCATACGAAACTCTAATGATTGGTAATTCTGATCGTCTCTGGTTTTCATGAGGATTTAGCTATTTTTCTCAGTTAACTGTCCTATTTTGTTCCGTATTTTCTTCTCATGTCTTTATAATATACTGCGTACAGGTTATAGTGTAAGTGACCTGCCTTAGCCTCGTCCCTACTTCGTCGAGGTTAGGCTTGGCACTTACAGAGTACATGGGGTCGGTTATACTCATACTACACTCTGCACTTCTTGTGCAGATTCTGGAGTCGGTCCCAGCGGCGATTATTAGCGTGCTCGAGTTGGCTAGCTTTGCGGAGACTTGAGGTACAGTTGCTCGGCATCCGTAGCTCCTAGAGCCCCCTTTCCTTTTTATTAGCTGTGTATTTTCCCTCAGACGGCTTTATGTTTTATTCAGACCCTTATTTGTACTATTCTAGTAGCTCGTGCACTTGTGACACCGGGTCCAGGGTTGTATTAGATATTTCAGACGTTATGGCTTCCGCATTTTTACTTTAGATTATTACTGTTATTTCAGCTTCTGTCTTATCATTTAATTTGAACTGTTGAAAATGGATAAGTTGTTCTAACGTTGGTTTGCCTATCAAGTAAAATATTAGGCGCCATCACGATCCCGATGGTGGGAATTTCGGATCGTGACACAAGTATGGTTGTCGTTAGTCAATATTAGCTACTGAATATTAAGGTCGAATATACCAAGTTAATGCCTTGAAGAAATACGAGCACTTAAGAATACAACTAAAAGAAAAGTAAAAACAACTTTCACATTTTTTAAAGAGAAATTTCGTATTTTCTTTGACGAAAATTATTTCCACCAAAAAATAAAAATAGCTTCAATCTTTCATTTGTAAACCCAAGTCATTTTTTTACTACAATCTTACATTAAGAGCACTTCTTCTTTGTGTGTAATTTGAGTTCTTTTTGGTCTTCTTGTGAATCTCTTTGCATGGGCCTTTGAAGCTTTTGGAAATATGACGGAGATCATTGGATCTTCATCATTTGATTGTAAAAATAGTACGGGCTATCTAGTTTTTAAACTGGTCATTCAAAAATAGCCAGCGTTTGCAAAGTTATTGAAAAATAGCCACTATTTTGCTGTAACAAGGTCCGGTCCAGCATAATATACTGGAGATCGGTGCGTCTGTGTATGAACTTCCAGCATATTATGTTGGAACTCCAACACGTGGAAAGTTCCAGTATAATATATTGGAGATTGGAGCACCTGTGTATGAACTTCCAGCATATTATGCTGGATCGGTATATTATACTGGAACTCCGGTATATTATGCTGGAGTACTTTCCGGATTTGAATTGTGTTTTCGTTCAGATTTATCTTTACATGAAAAGTGGCTAAATTTCGATTACTTTTGAAATTGTGGCTATTTTTAAATGACCACTTGTAAATATGGCTATTTTTGAATTTCTCCCCCATTTGGTTTAGTAGTAGAAGAGAAGTTGAAAGAGAAAAAGCCGTACAACTATACATTATGCTTTTATCAAAAAATAAAATAACAACAATTACACCTCAATTTCAGACAGGGTCGGAGCGAGCCTACTAGGTGTGGGTTCAGCTGAACACACTTACTTTTGCTTATACATTATATTCTATTAAAAATTAATTAAATGTATATACTCAACTGCGAACCTAGTAATAAAGAAGAGCTATGAGTTCCATGGCAAATTTAGAATTCATAAACTTCAAATTCTGGCTCCGCCACTAATTCCAGAGAGAGGTGGAACCAGACTTGAAGTTTATGAATTCGAAATTTGTCATCGAACTCATAACTCATTTTAATTATTGGATTTGAATTTGAATATTTATACATATTTAATGAATTTTTTTAATGCAAATACATAATCTAAGTAAAAGTTAATGGGCTCGTCCAAACCTATAACTAAAATGGTAGTTTCGTTCCTGATTTCAAATTACTTGATTGGAGTCAATTATACGAATCCTTGTTGATTACGTTTATCCAATTAAATTCCTTTCAGTTCAATACTTCACTCCAAATAAAACAGAGCTACTAAAATAAAATAAAAAGATGCAGCAATTTACATCATACACGGAATGGACAGGATGATAGTAACATATAGTGGAATTAATACATGGAGAAATTTACTATACGAGCGGCTCCAATTTATTTAAATACTTAAATAATTTTCCTTAACCAACCCGAGGAGTTTGTACAACAAAATCCAACACATTAACCCAGAGACGAACTCGATCACATCTAAAATCTTGTGTCACAAATCTCCCATTCAGTACAGTTTGAACATTAGTTAGTGTTGCTTCTTCCTTCTCAATTGTTTCCCTTGCTAACTTAGCTGGTACCCCTAGAAGTTCTGGCCATGTCTCCTTTTTCACTCCTATAGTTTACATATAATCAAGAGACAAATATATTACGAAAGCACAATCATTATATATATAAAAACAAAGGGCAGTTCAGTGCACGAAGCATTCCGCATGCACACAGGGTTCGGGTAAGCGCCGGATCCCAAGGGGTGTGATGTAGGCATCCTACCGGATGCAAGCATCAGTCGCATGATTTCACAGCTCGAACCCGTAACCTATAAGTCTCACGAGACAACTTTACTATTGCTCCAAAACTCTCATTACATAATTATATATAAACTTCAATAATTGAAGCTAGGGTAAACAATATTGGAAGAAGCAGGAGACAAAAGAGTAAAAACCAAACCTGGGCAACCATCATCGGACTGAGACATGAAAGGTTGAAAGACTGTTCAAAGAATAATGTACATAAGTTTTCCTTCTTATCAATACATAGAAATACATGTGAAAAACAAAAATAAAAATAAAATAAAATAGTTGAAATAAATGTAAGCATAAGAAGAGGAAAAGAACTAACGAGATGCAAGAAGCAAGAAAGCAACGACGTAAGCTAACTTCTCCATAGTCTTTTGTCTAATTATTTTTCTAATTGCTTTGAAGAATTGAGATTAAGGAAACAAAGTAGTGATGTGTAGGATAATTTCATTTGGATTTTGTAGGGATATTTATAGTAGAGTTTTTGCCTCAATTACATGAGCTACTTGTTCCTCGAAGCAACCATAGTATACTAATTTAATTTTAAAGATAAAATTGATGAGTTGTCGATGACCCGCTCTTAATTTTCTTCTTGTTGACTTTTAATATCATGAATTGATTGTTCGCATAGTAGGACAGTGTAGCCCGGTGCACAAAACATTATGTATTCTCGCAAGGTCTAAGAAAGGGTCGCATCCCTAGAGGTGTGATGTAGACAGCCTATTACTTTAATGCAAGCGTTATTAGTGATTGCTTCCTCAGTTCGAACACGTGACCTAAGTTACACAAAGACAACTTTATGGTTACTCTAAGGTTTCCTTCATTTGTTTCGGAATTGAATGAGTTAACATTTTCATGTTGACCTAGCTAAAGCAACACTTTGGATGATACCAATTAACTATTGGTAGGAGTTTTCTCTTAATCAGCTGTATAGAAATGTTTATTTTAGTAGAAATTGTCCAGAGCCTCTAGTGCTTTATGTTAAATCTCTAACTATAGAATAATGGAATGAAATGGATCGGATACGAATAGAACGAAGTGGATAGCCCGCGTGCCTGTTGAAGGATCCGACGACTCGTCGGCAGTGGCTTGGTTAATGGAATCCAACGGAGCTGTAGCGAAAGTGAATCATTATAGCGCAATTATCACTGCTTATATATATGGACCCGAACCTGAGTGATCTATCCTTGACCTAAATAAAGTTTGAGTGAAATTAAGTGAAGGTATTGTGGTTAGGGGTGAAATGTCAGAGGCACAACAGTTGACTTATAATATCTAGGGGTAAAGCATTATATTGTGCTAGTGCGGGACGCGAGAGCGGTACCAAATCGAGGCAAACTCTGAATATACTAGATATAACCTCAATATGGCAAGGGCAAGATCGGCTAGTAATACGATGGAGAATAAATTAATCGTCAAAAGAAACATAACCCGGATCAGCAGCTAAGGCCCAAAAGAACAATGTAATGAAATAGATTCAAATAGAACGAAGTGGATAGTTATGATTCATGCAGCAGATTCCAATTAGCTAATCTTTGATTTAAACATATTTCCTATTGTTGAATGTTTTACAAAATCATGTACCTTCTGGTTTATTTTTTAACCTAATAATGTTCATCAATTAAAAAATAATTAAGTACTTTAGGGTAAGAAGAAGAAATATGATGCTCAAGTCTCATCACAAAATAACACACCATCAAAGGATGTGGTGCAGTGGATGGGGCTCCTCCTCCCTTCACCAGAGGTTTCGAGTTCGAGGCCTTGGTATGGAAAAATCCTTGGTAGGGAGCGCTACCCCCGAATGAGGCCCTACCCGATGCGAATCCGAATATAGTCGGGCTCCAATATGGATACCGGACACCGGGTGGGAAACCAAAAAAAAATAACACGGGTTACAACTCCTTTCGCCGCCCTATGCCGTGTGAAAAGATATGAATTTCAAAGTCAAAATTGCAAAAATAAATAAATAATAATAATAATTTAAATCACTAAATAGAGAGATCCTTGTTCTCTAAGCAACTACAGTACATTAATTTATTGAGACGTGGGAATATTTGGAAAAAGACATGAGCCGCATTTTACTGATTATTTTCAATATTTGAACTTTGATTATCAACTTAAAGGTCAAACAACCAAAATATAAAAATAAGATAGTGGCCCTAATCGTGGAAACATTGCAGTACAAGTTTTCTTTTTCAATATATTATAGTACAAGTTTGGTTATTTGGTAATACGCAATCTTATACTTTTGTTATTTTATTTGAAATAATTGACCATTTCTCAGTTTCGTGCATCATTTCAATTTCCTGGGATCTTCCCGTATTGAAAATTCAAATATTGAAATATGAAAATAAGTAGTTGACAAATTGGATAGATATATTAAAGGCATCTCCAACTTTTACCCCATTTTTTATTCCTAAAATGGGGATTTTCCATTTTGGGAACAACTTACTCAAACCATTCCCCCATTTTTCCCCCAAAAGAGAATGTTCTTTTTTATATTCTTCTCTCTTTTCAATATTATATTATTATCTTTCATTTTAATTTTATTTTTTAATTTCTATTAAACAAATTTCATCTTTTATTTTCATTAATTTGTAATATCCATTAAAACAATTCCATAAAATTTTAAATAATATAATTTGTAAGCAATTATTATAGATTAACTAATAATTCAAATAAAAGTGAAATCATTGCAATACAAGACAATCCAATCAGAAAATAATCGGATGGTTGAGGCGATGAGTAATGCAACCGAGACAAAAAAAAAAAAAAAGAAGTTTTGACTGTTCAAAAAGAAAAACTAAGAGTAAAAGAAATGAAAGAAGAATTAATCTTTTATTTGGTAGTAGTATTTTTCAACCTATGTATAATTAATACATGTATTATTTATACACTCTATCCAGTATTATTCTTATACATAACAAATCATGGCATTAGTAATATCAAGATTTTTAATACAAGGATAAACATGTATAACGATAGAAGTGTCCTTTCGAAATATTTAATACACCAAACTAAACAGTCTATAAGAAATAATCACAGCATAACGAATCACATCATAACTAATGGGGTACATTTTATTCAGTACTATTTTTATGCACCCTACCAAACGACCCCTAAGGATTAAAGGCCTTTGTCTAGGCTTAATATAAAGCACACTTTTATGATCAAGCCTAAATCTTGACGTAAGTTAGTATCATGTATATGGATCATTTGCTTACAAGGTGTTGGTTCTTTTTTGAATAAAAAAATATACATGGGATTTTGTAAACATTCAACTATTATACATATTTTTAATTGAATTCGTACAAGAACAACAAATAAAAGAAATTAATTAATTGACATGGTTAGGGACAACTCATCAAGCTTATCTTCAACATTAAATTAGTCTGCTATGGTTGCTTAAACAAACAAGTATACCATGTAATTTAGGCACAAACTCTCCTATAAATATCCCCAGAAAACCAAATGAATATTATACATAAAAGCAAGGAAAATTAGACAAAATTAAAGACAATGGTGAAGTTAGCTCTCGTGGTTACTTTCTTGCTTCTTGCATCACGTTAGCTCTTATTCCCCTCTCTTATTAATTTCCCACATTTATTTTTAAGTATTTTTTTCACATTTATTTCTATTTATTCAAACAAAATTTAACGTAAATTATTTTATGAACAGTTTTTCAACCTCTCACGGCTCAGTCCAGTTGCCCAGGTTTGGCTTTTACTCTTCATCTCCTACTTCTTAATTCCTATATATATTACCTAATCTTTTGTGCATAATGTTTCTTATTCTTTTTTCACTATAATTTCTCTCTCATTATATATATAAATTATAGGAGTGAAAAAGGAGACATGGCCAGAACTTATTGGTGTACCAGCTAAGTTTGCAAGGGAAATAATTCAGAAGGAAAATTCAAAACTAACTAATGTTCCAAGTGTACTGAATGGTTCTCCAGTGACAAAAGATTTTAGATGTAATCGAGTTCGTCTTTTTGTTAATGTGTTGGACTTTGTTGTACAAATTCCCCGGGTTGGTTAGGGGAAATAAATAATTTACTCGCGTCAAGTGTTTAAGTATATTACTAGCCCCAAGAAAATAAATGGAGCCGTATAGTTAATTCTCCATTCTCCATATGTAATCAAAATTGTTTGGTGATAAAATAAGTGTGGCTTTTAATTTTAGTGTTAGTTTGTCATCCTGTCCCTTCCGTTTATGGTATTAATCTGGATTTGCCCCAGGAAGTCCCGCATTATGGGGTAAAGCGCTCCCTAACAAAGGCGACTCCATTCCCAGGGGCTCGAACTCAAGACCTCTGGTTAAGGATGAAGGAGTACTTACCACCCCACCACAACCCTTGTTGGTTCATGTCGGCACCTTCACTGCTCAATATCTTGATGACCATTAAAACATAGCTCCAACTCGAACATCCAAACAAGATGCAAATAGTTACTCTTTCCGTTTCATTAAAACATAACTCCAACTCGAACATCCAAAAAAGTTGCAAATAGTTACTCGACGTAGTATGACTTGATACGGAAAAAGAAAATTAAAACTTGTGATCTTGAAAGTGGGTACAGGCTTTGTGGGACCGTGTTGATGTAAAAGTTTCTCATTAAAGAGAATTTTGACGTATATCAGATCCAAGAACTGCATTGTGCGTATCCAGTCATAGTTTGGCCCAACTAACCCACTTACAACAACAATAAAAGAACCAGAGAAATCCCACAAGTGGGATCTGGGGAAGGTAAGTGTACGCAGACCTTACCCCTAACTTATGGAGGTAGAGAGGCAGTTTCCGAAAGACCCTCGGCTCAAGAACAGGCCCAATTAACCTAAGTGCATAAGCAAAACTCAATGACAAAGAGCTCTATATAAACAGATCCCCAGCATAAAGCTGCTATAATGTTGCTTACCATGAGGTAATTCAGTATGAAAACTATAAGTCATCGGTCAACCAACAGTTTTTCTACAAGGCCGCAAGGATTCAAGCTGCTGAACAAAACTCGGTTTTAACAACCCTCTGTAAACTGCAGACAACGCGGAGCTTTGGCAAGAATACATGCATATATCCACAATCTATAGTGGAAACGACAATACAACGACGACAACAACAATCGAGTATAATCTCACAAGTGGGAGTCGGGGGAAGGTTGTGTGTACGCAGACCTTACCCCCACCCTGAGGGGTAGAGAGGTTGTTTCCGATAAACCCTCGGCTCAAGAAGATGAAAAGAGACAATAGAACAATAACAGGGGCTAGAAAGATAGTACCAGCAACCTAAGAACAAGAAAAATAGATGGATAAAGCAATATCAATATCCAGTAACAATGGCAAGGTACTAAGAAACCAGAGCCGGAAAATAGTATGAGCGCAACATGGAAACTTCAATACAATAAAGACAAAAATCTCTAAAAGCTAACTTTTATACATGCTCTGCTTCAAGGGAAAAAAGAAATCTAA